GATAAACAGTACTTCTCCACTAGACTCTAAATACTATAGCTATAGTATTTATTGTAGTCTACAGTAAATATTATGGAGAGCACCAGCTATATTTAATGATCTCAACAAATAGCATGATTGTATATTTGGTTTGTATCGAATAGGCTTGCCTCTGGCCCGCTGTGTTTTTTTTGGGAATTGTGCAGTTGTGGGATTGTGTTTTGGTATGGTTTGGGATGTACTTTTATTCTTTGTTGGTGGATGTCGTGTATGACTTTTTTCTACATTTGATACCTTTGCATGTTTATTTTTAGTAGTAGTACATTATATTTCTTGATTTTTTGTAATATGTATTTGTGTTGAATGTTTGATCAAGTGCTTCACTAGATCTTTTTATTCAGTTTTTGTTTTTTTTGCATCTTTGGAATTAACGTCCATTGTTTAGTGTAACTCAAGTCTGATAATTTTCATTGTACCATATGCCAGTTTTGTTGTTTATTGTAATCAAAGAATTCTCGTCACTATGTGTAACCTAGAGTTTATGACGCATCAATGTGACTTGAATTTATTTTTGTATGTGACACATGATTGTATTGAAGGTTCAACCTTTATTGTGTTTTGTGGCTTCAGTTTTTTTTTCTACCTTATGGATGTACAATTTTTCTTAGTAGATATGAGCTTTTGGTTGTATTGTATTGGTTTTACTGTGCGTGTAGTTAGAGTATTAAGTTTTGTTTTTACTGTCTTATTGTGGATTTCTAAACTATGTAGTATTTGGTGTGGTATGAGGGCATTCTAACTTTATTAAATTTGACTATTCACCTTTGAAGAAAGATGTTATTCTAACATCCTATATATATATCTATTTCTTAGGATAGTATCGTTTCAAATTATAGAAGTAAATATCAATAAGAATGTTATTTTTATAATTTTACATGTTCAAAGTTGTGGATAAAAATCAACTATAATGTTAAAAACAACAAAGTTAATATGTACAAAAGTACTTATTAAGTTATATTATTTTAATATTGTTAAAAAGGGTAATTTTAAAATGACTTACTATGATTGTAATGATGGTTTTTAGAGATGATTTAGTTTTCTAATAATGGGTATAATAAGGTAGATAAATTGAATATATGAGTGGAATATTTTAATATTTTTCATTAAAAAATGTAATATTGTGTAATTTATATAAACTTTTATTGTATTGTAATTTTTAAAATTTTGGCATTACATTAGAAGTTTGGTATAACTGTATTAGATACATCAATTAGTTTTTTCTACAGTTTTCAAAAAGGTGGAACAATATGGCAATGGATTCATCAATAATTTTATTGAGTAGAATGAAGTATCATGCAATAATGAAAAAGTAAGATATCTTAAACAAAAAATTATAGATGATGATTTAGGGTATGATTATGAAAATATTTTACTTCCATATTATTTATGGAAGTAAAATATGAAGTTACAATAATTATTGTATTGGTAGAGAGAACTATTAAAATGCTTTTCTTTAATTTGAGCCAAATGTCGAATTATTTTTATTTAATTAACACATATATTGCTATAAAATTTGATATAATAAAATTTATTTTTGCTAAAACTTTTATGAATTGTTCCAAAAAAAATAATAAATAAATAAATTTAAATTATAAGTATTTGAATTTAAATATACATAAAATGATATTCTTAATTTGATTTTATGTATGCAAACATCATTTGTTCAAATGTATTTGAATGTATCATTATTTAACATTAACAGAGGATGTGGGTGCCATGTAATAGATAGAAATTATAGTGGCATTAGCACTATCTTAAATTTAGCATCACATGAGTTTTAAAACTTTCTTTTTATAATCCAATTACTTATATATAATTATATAACATATGATATGTGTTTCTATTAATTTTTAAGATTTTAATCATGCAAATAATTATATAGTTTATATTCCTAAAAATAAGAGCATCATTTATATTATATTTTGGACACTATAAATCTAATTAATGCATTTATAATTTATTACATTGGATTAAGAATATTTGATAAATCAATAACAAATATATTGTCTAATCTATTGTACTTTCAAATAAGGATCATTTTTATCAAGTATAATAATAATATTAGAATAAATTTTTTGACATTAAATTAAAAATATCAAAAAATTAATTATGTAAATATATTAAAACATCACTAGCTCCCATAAAATTCATTTTTAATTTGAATTCCAAATCGTCTAATAAACATAATAAGATATACACTAGTCAATCTTAGTATACAAGAAATGCTTATATTATGCCTAACTAACAAATTCTTCCAATAGAATCTTTGTTTGATACAATAAAATTATATTTAATTGTACATTTTAATATCAAATGTTACATTCACAATGATAATAGACAAATTTGTGTCAATTATTACAGTCCAAATTTGTACATGTTTGTTGGTAAATATTCTTCCACAAAATCTAAAGTAAGGATCTAAAGTAAATTTAATGATCACGATTAAAAAAACACAAAATAAAAATTATGATCACTTTTTTAGTTCTTTAAATTTTAAATATTTTATTATTAATAAAATATTTTATTTATTTAATATATTTGAAGATATATTCATTGACTTATATAACATATTATAGAAAATTATCTTTAAATTAAAAAAAAATAGTCCAAAAATATGTCAAAATTACTTTTTGAGTTTTTTGCTAATAGATTCTAAAATATTTTATAATCAAGAAATTAATTAATTTAAAATTATAAAAATATTTTTTTCTTATAACAGAGATACAATTTCAACTGAAATTTAATGCTATGTTCTAATATAGTTGAATAACTAATGGAAATAAAATACATTTAAAAATTAAAATTGAGCCTTGTGGACATGTTATCTTATACATCTTTAACTTGATAACCTAAAGCTTTAGATCTAATCTTTTAAGTATGATCTACTTTTAAAATATAATTTAGGAACATAATTAATTATATCTATCATATTTGAGAAAATGCACTTCATCAAGTAGACTTAATATGAACTAATAACTAATATAATCTATTAGATAATATTATTACATAATTTGTAAATATTGGTACATATTTGATGTCAATAAGCATATATGAGAGTTATTGAGCAAACTTGTAAATGCATCAACAGATATTTTTTCTTTAATTAAAATATCTATTTATTCTAAAGACTAATTATAAGTAAAAATAGAGAATTGGTATAAAACATAAAAGAAAAAAATAAAAAAATAAAAAAATAATTTTGCATACATTTAAAATATTTTTGTAGATGTTTTAACGTGATAAAATAATAATATTCAATAAATTCATGCTAAAAACTAATATTTTTAAAATTCCCAATTAAAATAATTGAGGTTTCTACAATATTTATTATGTTTAAATTCTTAAAAAAACATTCATTTCTTTAAAAAATCAATAATAAATAATATATTTGGTGCTATGATTTGAAAAGGGATTTTTGGTGCTTGGTGATATTGTTGATGTTTAAAAAGATTTTGAATAGTTCTTGGAATATTTTATTTAAAAATAATCATTAAAAATTCTACAATGATCAAATAACAAGTTAGTATTTTTATCTAAATATAAATTATTATTGATAGCTTATAAAATCTATTAAGCACCTTCTACAAGATTGTAAATTAAAATGATTCACAAAAAATATTTTTTTGATTTAGGAATTTAGTAATATGTGAATTAAATTAAAATCTGACTATTGCTTGAAAAGTTCATGTTTAAAACATTACATAATTTTATTGATACTTTTAATTTTTATATCAATAGAAGTTGGTAGAAGTTTATAAAAATAGATTAGATAGATAATAACTTAGTAAAGAAAGATTCTAAAATATTTTAGACATACATCAAATCTACATATAAACCATATAATTACAACACCTTTTTTTATAATTTTTATATTTCTAAAAAAACGAATGTAATAGTATTACCTAAGTACAATACTTTAATTTTGAATAGTTCATAAGTTTTGTTAAAATATTAATGATAAAATTTATATAAGTTTATTTATAATTCAATAAATATTTATATAAAAATTTACAAAAAAAATCAAGTTTGAAATTATAATGAATTAAAATAGCTTTTGTCAAAGATAAAAGATATTAGAGAGTTTTGAATAGACACAAGAATAAAAGAGTGCTATTAACAATAGTAAAGATGATTGAAATATTACTTATATATATATATATATATATATATATCAGTTAATAAGGATATAACTTAAAAGTATTTTTAGAAAAAAAAGCTTGTAAATTGAAAATTGAAATAGAAAATAGGAAAAAAGAATTATTGTACAAGAAAAAGAAAAAAAGAAAAAACACATAGACAACATGTCAACATTTGTACAAATCTAGAGACATGATGCCCCTTGCCACATGTCTCAACAAAAAGCATCACATGACCACAAAGGCGGTGCCAATTACCAAAGAAGAAATCACCCAACCAAGATATTGCAATAATTTATTTTCTCACCAACTTTGCCCCCCTCCCCCTCCCCGTCCCCACATGCACTACCATCCACATAACCACCATTCCCTTCATACCATTCTACATTCCCTAAGGATTTCCCACCCATGCCCACACTCTCTAACTCACTTTACGTCATGAACCCACACCCAGCAAACACCATGTGGAAAGAGAAGAATTAGGTCTTCAAGGCAAGGCAAGAAGAATGAGAGGTCCATGGTATCACCATTAGAAGAAGAAGAGATCAGAGAAGGAATCAGGGGAGGACGAAAGGAGCGGCAAGGCAAGAGTAGGGGTGGAGAAGTAGAGCAGGTTTCAGACCATGAGAAAGGGGAGCAGAAGAGCTGCCAAATGGCAACTACAAGACGGCCACAGCTTTGCCGCCACAGCATTGCCGCCACAGCAGTAATCGCCAGGCAATCACAGCCACGCCCTCCAAGTGGCCAAAACCAAAGGCATTGAAGAGAATAGGAACCCAGTTTGGTGACCGTCCCTGCTCCTCATGTGCCTACTATGCCTGTGCCTGTGCTTGCTGTGCCTGGCCCCTCTGTCTCCTTCGTGTCGTGAGATCCGACTGCCCTTGCACTGCTGCATGAGCAGGCAGGCAAGCAGGGAGTAAGGGAGGGGATTGTGCTAATCTATCTCATCAGGCGCCAATTACGTCAACTCTTACGCAGGATGATGCCGATGAACTAACACTCAAACTGTCTCCCACATTGGCGACCTTCTGTCGTCTTCATTTATCATGTTTCACGCTCCACCTGTCGCTCATCTCTGCATGGGCAGCATGCGGGAGCATCTTCGTAATATAGCTGCCGCTGCCTGTAGTCCCCCGCACTCTCTCTCGATCTCTCTCTCGTTTTCCTTACATCGGCCTTCCTTCTTCATTTCCAGGATCGTCTTACGCATAGCGCCATTCGATTCTTCTTACACGCTGCTGATCTCTCGCTTTGCGGGTTCCTTTCTCTTGGTCTGGTTGGCGGCACGTGCCTCGTGATCTTGTGGGTTCCCTTACGAGATCTGTGTTCTTTTAAGTGTCTGTTTTGTGGGTTTATTCCTGCAGTTGGTCGTTCACGAGAGGGCTTGATGCTGCGGTAGAGGGGATTGTCCCACACAATTTCGAGGTATAGGTCTCTGGATTCTCATCCAACCAAGGACTGAGGTTACGATGGCGGTGATTGGTTTGTGGCCATGATCGAATGCCTCGCAGGACGTGTGCATTCTTTGTGTGGCTGGACTTCCATTGAGGGTTGCGACCTCGGAATTATTTTGCTGCTTTAGGAATGTGAACGTGTAGCCGTCACAATTGTTTCACCATTTTCTTTTTTTTAAGGGGAATCTAGTTGTTGCTGGTATGAAATATACGCTGTAGGGAGTGTAAGGTAGCATCTGAGTCCGCAAGGAAACTATGGAAGTCGCGCACATCGAATAGAAGTTGCGCGAATACCGCTTTCCAAGTTAGAATTATGGAATGAAAAAGCCACACATTTGACGAACTTCTTGTGAACAACATAGATTTCAAATCGGATTCTACCCTGTAGTTTCGTTTCCCAGTTGACGCGGAGTTTGAGAACAAAGTCTACACTGTAACTCTTATAATGAACTAGTCGTTCTTGTAGCATATTTTCATGTTGCACCGCTAGATGAGTTGTCGTGCTGTTTTACTAGCTTCATGTTATTGGTATGATCTAGCGTGATACAATAGATGTAATGATTAGCATTCAGCTTTCCGCTAGTCGGTACACGAGGAATGTCTCCCATGCTATGTAATATGTTTATTTGGTCTTTCTCTATCATGAATCACGTTCTTTTGAAGTCATCTGCTTGAAAATTGATTGAACCCGGACTGTTCTTTGAGCTTTTCATTAAAACGTCCATATTATCATAAACCGCAACCGGAGCGGCCGCATAACAATCATCATATTTCGTAAATATTTTGGTTAACGTTGGAACGATGTTTCCTTCACTTAGTCGTCGCGTCTTCAACTTTGCTGCTTCATTTTTATTTCTCAGAATTCGTCATTCCATTTTGCAGGAGAATTACAAATCATTTTCGAGTTTCCAGTGATTATGGCAACATCGCCAGCAGCAAAACGCAGTCTTCCTCTCAAATCCTTAAATCATGTCTCAAGAGTCTGTCGGGATGTTAATGCTACAACCATTTTTTATGAAAATGTATTGGGGTTCGTCCCGATCAAAAGGCCAGGATCACTTGACTTCGACGGAGCTTGGTAAGTTCATATCTGATTTGTGTGTCAGCGGTGCTCATTGTCGCAGTCGAGGGACTCTTCTGGCGTGGTTTAAGTTAAAATCCTACGTACTATATTCCAGACTTCCTCCTCATTAAAGAAATGAAAAAATAAAACTTAGAATTGCTGTGAGGTTATTCCGCGCTTATGGTTTCTTCTTGGTTTCACTGAGTGTTGTGATTGAATTTGGAAGTTTCTGTAACTTGATATCTTCATGAAACTTCACATGGTGCAGGCTTCACAATTATGGGATCAGCATTCACCTTCTGCAATGTGAGGAAGATGTAGAATCAATGCCGCCCGTTAAAGAAGAAATAAACATTCGTGACGACCACCTATCCTTTCAGGTATGTAAATACTGATTTGTTCGGATTGCCATTAGTGTTATATCAACTGAAGGAACGAATGAAATGCACTAGGGGTGAACCACCTACGGCCTAACTTTTCAGCACCAGTCATTATATATTCTGAAGAGTACTTAGATACTGCTTTCAAAAAATTCAACCCGTTGATTGATGTTGTCACATGAATGCAAATTGAAGTGAGTAGAATGGCGTGCTAGCTTCTTTGTCCTCCGAAAGCCTTGACATGGTGTGATATTGAAATGGGCAGAGTGAGTCTGTAGAAGAGGTGGAGCGAGCATTACAAGAACACGGCATCCATTATGAAAAGAAAACACTCGATGAGAGTGGCATCATAATTGACCAAGTGTTCTTCCACGACCCCGATGGTTTCATGATTGAGATTTGCACATGTGAAAAGTTCCCCGTCCAGCCGTTAAATAATTCCACGGCCGAATTTTGCAATCTCGTTCGCACCTTATCTTCTCGGAGGGGACTGTCTCGTACTATCAGTCGAGCCAACACAGCCGAAATGCTTCCAGAGAAGCTCAAGTCTCATACCTTCAGTTTCGTAAATCAGGGTACAACGTAAGATTTTGTTGATTTAGCATTGAATCGCGTTCAGTGATATTGTTCAACTGCCGCTGCCTAATTGAACTCAAAATCTTAGTGGCCTTATTTTTTCCATATTAGACGAAGTGACCTGTGGTTGTAGACTACATTTAACATCCCAAGTTGCTTATTGGAAAATTTGTCTTCTTTTCCTTTAGATCCCACCTGTAAGTTCAACTGCATGGATTATGAAGATTAAGCTAATCTACACAATGTGATCCTGTACTGCAGAAAATCGCTCTTCACGTTTTTGCAAACAGAAAATTTTCCATCGGATCACTCAATTGGTGGCTAAACAATCGCTGTAGAACTTTACTGATTAAGTGCAGTATCAAACAAAGGATCTCGTAAAGAGCTACTGACGCAATATGTGGAAAGGCATAGTCTCCCTTATCGTGAAGACGTCTGTAATTGGTTTAATATGAAATCCCATTAAGTGATGAAAAGTTGCCCTAAAAACTAGCACAAATGTCCCTCTAACATGGTAAGGTTTCAAGAGCACTCTCATATTTGGGTAAAAAATGAGACTTGAAGGTTGTATTCTAACATACACAATTGATGTTTACACAATATTAGGGAACTTTAAATTTTTTTTAATAATTACAGATCAAAAGCATGAATAGTGTAGAAATCTGAAAGCTAGTTGCAATCATTCACATCTTGTAAGGCAAGTAGATATGTAATGTAAAAAAAAATAATGTTATTCTGAAATAAAGATAAGCCACAAGAACCATTTTAATAATAAAAATGAATAAAAGTTTATGTTAATTTAAAATTTTTGTCATCATTAACTTTTAAGTGTGAAAGAAATTACTATTATATGATTATTTATTTATTTATTTTTAATGAAATTTATTTTCGTTAAAAAGCGGTTTTTCTTTCACATTTTCTTATATCATTTAATATATTATTTTTTAATAGCTTTTAATTTAAAATATAAAAAATAAATTAAATTAGATTTTTTTTTCAAAATTTTTTTCAACTATCTTGGTTAAAAATAGATTTAAAAAATGATAATAAAGATTTTTATTCTTTGCAATATTTATAGGTTTATGTATGCTAAAGTCTTATCATTTTTATGATTATATTACATTTGTTACAAGCAATTTTTACAACTAAATTCTTATTGATATTTATTAATAAGTATTATTTTAAGTTTCAAAAACTTGAATATTATACCAAATAAATACTTGAATTTAGAATATTTTTAAAATTTTTAATATTTAGATAAAATTTTGATACATATTAAAAAAATTAATAATACAAAATTAGGTAAAAGTAAATACAAATATGTGTTTTTATATGAATTTTGTAAAAACCAAATTATGTTTTCATAGTTTTTTTTAGCTAATGTACTTAATTAAAGACAAATTTTTAATTCATCATAAATTTCACAATGAAAATGATGTATTTTGGTTATAGTTTTTCTAATTGATACATCCAACCTGGAATTTTTAGTATAGAATAAATAATCTTTGATAATCTTTTTTATATGTATTTTTTTTAATGTCACTTATTTTCATGTATGTAGAATTCTAATTTCTTTTAAAATTATGTGCATTCTACTAGATTCTTATTATATATTCTAATAATCCTAAAAAATTTAAAAACCATATGATATAAAGAATTTTTTATAAAAATTCTCTAATATGAGATTACGTAAAATTTTCTTCTCTAATTATATTTCTTATAGGAAGCTTCTTTACAAGTTTATTTAGACAACAAATTCTAGTCTTACAAGTGGTATAAATACTAATAAGACCAAAATCATCATTAATCTTGACAACTTATTTTATGATTTTTTATTTCTTTTGTTTTTATAGATTATTAGAAAAATGGACCATCTCCAAAAACCATTATTACAATCATGGCCCTTACCTCCATCCCCCTTGTTTCTAGCCTCTACTCCCTCCATTTCCTACCTCCCTTGTTCCTCTTTAGTTCTCCATGATAGAGTGGGTTGATTTAGTAAATTAGTGGATCATTTTAACATTTTCCTCTATATATATATATATATATATATAAATTATTGTAGTACATTTATAAAAAATCTACCATAAAATATCTATTTTAAAAAGCCATACTTTGAAACATGTAGAAAAGAAGATGTGCATATCTTTATCCTATCTTTTTGTAAGATATAACTATTATTTTTAGTATTAAAGTATTTTTAATTTTTTTAAACCACTTAATTATATGAAATATCATTTATTAGATCTTAAGAAGGTTTCCAATTTTTTTTTTTTATTTATTTTATTTTATTTCATAACTCCCTTGTTATAACTTACATTAGAACAAATGAGATTATTGTAGTTATGTATGCAAATTTAATAGGTGTAAAAAATTACATCACTCATGTCATTTTAATAACTAACTAGAAAATTATATCTATTGATTTAAAATAGAAATATGATCCAATTTTTTTAAAAAATATTATATAAAATGGATAACATATTTTAAAAGAAGAAAATAAAGAAGAAAAAATTATAATCTTATATTAAAAATCTCTCTAATAATAATATTTTTAATCATTCAACACATATTTTCATTATTGATTGCTTAAATTATCCACAATTCCTAACACGACTATAACAATACAAGTTTTTTAATAATGCTTGGTACAAATTTTAAAAAAAACTCATCCACAAGTAAACATATACATATATATCCATATTTAGTAAAAAGTTGGACTAAGATACTCTCTATTCCCTCCAAATTGTCTATGGTTTTGAATTGTATTTTTCTATTTTTTAAAATATTTTTCTAAAAAGAATTTAAGTTAAGTAGACCTTGCCTAATCAATGGACAATATAAATAAGGTCCATTAAATTTGAGATTTTGCTCAACTTTAGGCCTTCCTATGTCCATCTAGCCATAGGGATATGACTAATCATAGAGCTAGAAGTAACCACTTTCTCTAGCCAGTGGATTAGATAGAATCTTAGATTGGCAAATCAATTTAGCTTGTCTAGCTATTATCTAGGTAGATCGTAACTAGGTGGACGTTAAATAGCCCTGACCTTGCTTAATAGTGGCAATCGCCAACAAAATTAGAGTTAGAAATCTCCTTACTCTAATTTTAAACATAAACATTAAATTCTTTGTTATATGAACAAGTTTAATTTTACAATGGACTTTACAAACACACTTTATAACAACATTCGATTACACCAAAGGCACACATGAAGCACACAACATAGTATACTAAAGATATGCAACATAAATTGGGAGAGCCGGAATACTAGAAAGGATTGATGTCACAACAATGTCACAACGCTCAACAGATCCTGGCTACCATATTCTGTCTTGGGTAGCCACTAAGCTTATCTTGGCGGCCAAACTCAATCTGCCAAGGAAATGTTGTATTTTCCATTAATACAGTATTGGCTTCCCAATAATATTGGATTGCCCAAGTCGAACATCCCACATTGGCAATCAAACTTCAGATAGGCAAATCTAGGGCTGTCTGGTTGCCCTCTTTGTCTGCCTTTGCGTGTCCAGTAAAAAATTGCAGAGTCTTAAGTGAAGACCTCTCCTGTCAATTTGATGCTAACAGCTGCTCTCATATTGTCCGGTCAAAGTCAACAGGTATTTTAACTGCTGCTGCAGTTTGTATTTTCCTGAACTGGTTATGCATGGGCCATTATTCACATTGTCTAAATGATGAGTTGAAATTCAATTTAAAGAGACAGTGACAGAAGGCTCTTAAGTAAATAAAGAAGTCTTATACAACCTTCTTTTTCTGATGTATGATATTGTCCGAAAGAAATTCCATGTTACATTGTCAATCTCCATACTGATAGGTGTTTTCAATCTAAAGCCCACTCATTCTACTGTAGATATCAGAGGGAGATAGTGTCACTTGCAGCTGTGCGTTAAGCCAGAACACTCCTAAGACAAGGAGAGAAGAGACACATATCCACCACATGCTCCTGGAGCAGATTCACTCGAATGGTTCGAAAGCCTGCTATTTCTATTTAGGAAAAACCACAAAGAGAATAGCTTCTAGTTCTTCAAGAGACAGTCTGTAAGAGGTAAAATCATTTGAAGAAACACCAATGCTAGGGAAGCCTAGCTGAGATACTCTGGTACCACCGTCACGGGTTCCACGACAGTAACGGCTGGTTGAATTTTGTATAGAACGTCGGGAACGCCTGACTCATCGCGTGCAACCTGGGCAACATCTCAACATCAGATTGCAAAACTCTGCACCACCCCAATAAACTACTAAGCTTGAAGAGTACATCTACAATCATCGTCACTTCAGCCTCCTCACCAGTAAAGGATAGATCACATAAGAAGGCATCACAACATCTTTGCGAAGATAGACGCAAGAATTCTTTAACACTGTGGCCCACTGCAGCAATGTTAGTACATCATCTGCTCTGTTCGTGGGGATTGCTCTACGAGTGTCGAGTAGTTTCTTTCTTTCACTTCATTTGTGTGCAAGTTTCTGGTATTCGGTTTAAGACTGCTGCAGAATGAAGCGGCCAGAGGTATCTTGCATCCATTTGTGAGGACACATGGAAGGGGTGTCTGATAATGTTTAACATTGAGACTCACCAATATTTCTTCGTCCAAGTAAGAGATGAGAATCTGCCTTTCATATCGACCAGCTGCATTCACCAACGCAACACACGTATATCAATCACCATTGACGTCAAACAGGCTGAATGCAACTTTAGGTAGCTTAAGGCAATACAAGAGCACTTCCAATTCAAAAATAATGCTTGCCGTGTTCCGTCTACTTGCTGTAGACAGAAATAGAGAACGAGAGTCAGGTGCATACTCAGCGGCACTTTGATGCCATTGTTGACAACATCCTTGACAGCAGCGGGAAGGCGATCCACAGTGGCTACAAGTTGGTCATAGAATCCCTTCAACTGCGATGGTACCTCAGACACATTCGGAGATGACAGTATGCCCTCTACATACTCCTCTTTCAGGCGTGTTGGCCCTTCCGCTGTGATCTTAGTTGACAGCGTGAATACGCTCTCGACCTACCTCACCCACATCAAGCATGTCTCAATCACGATATTATCAATTCATACAAAGTTTGTCCCTCCCTCCTCATGCTATATTAGTGTATAAAATTGTGATGGATTCCATCATTAAACGTGGAGAAAGTAAGTAATCCTTACGCTGCCAAGTAGCTTCAGAGTAGCTGTGGCCTTTGTTGTCCCATCAAGGATGATAATGTTCAGGGAGCCAAGAGATGCTAGCGTAGCTGGGAATCGCCTGCAGCAATATCAACAATAGCACTGTCAAAAAATAAAGAGAAAGAGGAAATTAAAGTCTAAGCAACAGAGGAGATCGAAATTGTGAATATTCTGCTTCAATTCATATGATACCAGCTTGAGAGGAGATAATTACTTGATCAGAGTTCGAGCTGCAACCAAAGCCGGGCTGCGGGCTGCTGCCCACTTGAACTCCCACGATCCCTCTAACAAGGGCGACCTGATCCAACACACACTAAGTAAACAATTGGCGGATACATGGGTAGAGGAGGCTACAACCAATTGCAGTACTCGATGATCATGCGCAAGAACACGCCATCAGCATGCTGGGATATCCAGCAGGTGCTCTAGGTTTAGATGACACCGATAGCACACAAGGATTGTAATTTGTATATTTGCTAACTCTAAGCCACAAGCTCTAGAGAGAGCTGAGGGAATGGCGCTTACGTCGTTGGCCGCGGTGTGGGATTCAAACGCTCTAACGCCAAGAGTTTCTCATTCACCGTAATGCGCGCAGTGGCATCCTCTCTCTCCGATGCCAGAGCCTCCACACCACCCGCGTCCGCAATCTGTTATCCCCAAACCAGGTTATCTCCTCATACTGGCACATTGACAGAGGTAATAATGCACGAGGTATGAGCAGAAGAAGCAACACCTTTAGAAAATTGGATAGCTAAATCACCAACTCCCACGATCCTGAAGCTGCACTTGGGAATTAGAAATGTATAATTTCCGTAGCGGGTGCTATGACTAGCACAAAGCGATTTACTAAAAACTACTAGCAAGGCCTCTCGAATTTACGGCCCATTAGAATCGAGGTATTCCGCTTGGTGAGGTTGAGTTTAAATTATCTAAACAATTCGCGCCCTAAAAAACTGTAGAGCAATGCAGTAATATGTGTAGGGTTGGAGGTGCAAAGAAAGTGTATCGTTGCAACTGACCGCAAGCAGAAGCGCCTCTTTTGCAGCATCCCGTTCCAGCTCCTTAGCAGTGAAAGTGCTCTGGAACTCGGAAGACGCGGCTGCCCTCCATTTACCGTTGTTCGCCCCCCTTCGTGATCTTTCACACCGCCCCGGCACAGTTACACTAACTCCATTCGAAGTGAAATCATGTCTTCTCCATCCATTCGAGCGCAGCCCAGAAGCTGAAGAAACTCGGTCATGAGAAGATGGGGTAGAGGTGGAGCATGTCGAAACAGCTGCCGCATATTGTTGTGGGCATGAAAGTGCCTGCGTTGCTAGCGCCATCCTGCTTGCCAGACTCCTACACTCGTCAAACTTTAAATCCCAAATCGTGTGCGTTTCAATAATATGAAGAGACAACTATCTGGGGCAGACATACGCCTCTGAAACCCCCAATATAAATACCTGTAGAAATCTCGGGCTCCGAAGATGCCCAAGATTCCACACGGACACTTAACGCATCAAAGGATCCAGAGAAACACTGAGGAGGCACAGAGCAATGCAAAATCTGCGAAGTTGATTTCGAACTCTTCCACAAAAATTGGTCCAAACCCACTTTAAATAAAACTATCCTCCAACCGTAAGTAACAAGCGAGGGCCTTGAAACAATTCAATTGAAGCTATATCTAAGCACCTGTTGCAGAAGCCCAAATGAATCCGATGGTCAGCTCCACTCGACTACGTCAAGTAACCCAGCGAGGATTGGAGGCTACAATATTGGGTAAATATCTGTTGAGTGATGATCAAAGGATGAGGAGGTAAGAAGCCCAACAGATAACCACGCAGCCGCTTTAGAATTACACAATCTGGTGCAGTTAGGCAGTAGAACCAACTGAAGGCTTGCTTGCAACGGCGTGACTTGGGAGAATCTCGGCCTCCAGTTCCTCTGTGATTCAAATTTCTCAAATGCTTGTCACCTTTGGTATCAAGGCGACCCTCATAAACCTATTTTTCGTCTTCCCTCTCAACTCTGGTTGATATCCAATAGCTGTGGAATTCGCTTGGACAGCAAACGCCGTGGCCACGCCAACCAATTTCGACCAAGATCTGCAACAGGATATCCGAACTGCGTCTAGTACACCTATTACTTCGGTACACATCCAACGAACCTGAGTGAGGAACGTGTGGTGAAGATAAGGTTTTCCTTACAGGTTCTTGATGACACAAGTAACTTTCGTGAACTTCCCGTGCAGTTTAATAATTGGCTGATGAGCCGAGAATTGACTACGTCGCTACTTTGTGCGTCTTGTGCTTGATTTTCGGATTTGGTTCTTTTGACAATCGTTCGTCTTGCATTGGCAATCAGATGCCAGCATCTGCAGGACCGGACTGGCGCGTTGGCATCAAATCGGGAGTTGAAGTTTAGCAAAGGCTGCGATGAACACCTACAGCCTTGAATTTCAGCAGATTGTATAGCGTACCCTCCACTTTCCTCTATTGTCGGAATTCCAGCACGCAGCCGTGGGTATGAAATTCTTGATCCCTTGAGTACAATCTCAACTCCTGAATTCGCTGTCGAAATTTCTGCGGCGAAGCGCTGCAGTGCACACAGAAATTGTTTCCATGGCTCTCTTCGCTCAAGCATCGAGTGTTGTAAGTACCTTACCCCCCTTATCCACTCCGTTTCTACCACCGCTATACACATCGCAAGGTTATAGTGCAAAACCCACGATGCAGCAGCGGCGGAATCGAATTGCTATCTGTTGTGAAATGGGGGATGGCAGCAATAGCAGCATGTGGAGTAGTCCTGCGGATTTTGTGAAATTCCTGGGGCAGAACTTGTGGGGACGAAATTTGCCGCCAGGGGCGTTGGTGTCCGTGGTAAAAGAGGTTTGGACGACGGGATGGCTAACCATGATGGCGCAGCTAGCGCCTCCAACTGACAAGAAAGATTACAGTAGGCCCACCAGTCAATTTCGGGGACGTCTGCCATCCCCATCATCTGCCAAGCCCGGCCAATATCACCTATACGTTGCATTAGCGTGTCCTTGGGCTCACAGGACCGCCATTGTGCACAGTCTGAAAAGATTGGGTGATGCAGTGCCGATTTCGGTTGCCGTGCCTGGCTCCACTGGCTTGTGGGAATTTGCACCCAAGGTTGGAGTAAATTCCAAGAGTGGCGTGGTGGCGGAGCGTCTGCGTCCGACATTGGATAGAGCAAACGGGCAGAAGCTTGTGATGGATGTGTACAAGTCGCAACAAGGGGGTTACAATGGTCGGTCCACGGTGCCAATGCTATGGGATTCTTTGCAAAAGAGAGTGATGAATAACGAGAGCAGCGATATCATTGAAATTCTGAATTCCGATTTCAACCACTTGGCTGAAAACCCAGACCTAGACCTCGCTCCTGCTGACCTCAAAAGCCAAATCGAAGAATGGAATGAATTCATTTACCCTAACATCAACAATGGTGTGTATAGATGCGGATTTGCACAGTCGCAGGAAGCTTATGACTCAGCGGTGGAGAGTTTATTCAATGCGTTGGACAAGTTGGAAGCGCACTTGGCTGGCTCTAGGTATCTGTGCCAGGATACCTTCACCTTGGCCGATGTCCGTCTCTTCACAACACTATTTCGGTTCGACGCTGTGTATCAAATCCTGTTCAAATGCTCCAAGCAGAAGCTGAAAGAATATCCGAATTTGGAGGGTTACATGCGAGATATTTATCAAATCCCAGGCGTCGCATCGACTTGTGATATGGATGCAATCATGCACGGTTATTACAAGGTCTTGTTTCCTCTGAATCCCGGAGGCATCAGTCCCGCAATGCCTCGGGTAGCGGACTCTGCGTCTCTTTTAGAACCTCACAATCGACAGAAGGTTGCCGACCTAGTTGTTGGGCAGTAGTTGTGGTACTTCGACTTGCTCGCAATGTCTCTCGCGCCACAGTCACCTCAAAATCATTGTCTCGCAGCTTCCGAAGTTGCCAGGTTTTCACTTCCAAGCCATTGTATGAATACTGTGAGTGCCTCGTTCCAGCGACCTTCTTTTTTTTTTTTTTTTTTTTTTTTTTTCTCTTAGCTTATTATCGCATTACGAAATATCGCAATCTAGGGCCAACAGGGGATGGAAATTCCAAACTCAGGTGATATGATCGAGGTTTGTTGATTTTGAACTGGTTTCAATTGGCAGTAGTGATGTTGGATTACTTGTGATTCAACTTACCAATGATTTATGACCTTACTGGTTGCAGACTGTATAGGGAGGGATAGAGGGTATGGATGAGATCGATCAAGATTGATGTTTTCAGGAACTCAAATTCCTTGGCTTTGAGACTCTTCATTAGTGATAACCCATGCAAAATGTAGGTGTTGGTTGGTAATCGTAAGATCCATTTGCAGTTGAACTTTGTAGCAGTTTCTACATAAGTTGCACTTATACCTGCTGAATGCTTATGATGAAAATGCTCTCTGTCATGCAATTTTGCAGAGCAACATTGAATGAATGCGCTACTAACTCCTCTGCATCAATTAGTTGTATTTACTTGGGTGCCCACGGTGAATAGCCCACTTCTCGGTACCAAGTGACTACTCCGACTGAATACAATCAGAAAGCAGCAAAATCACAGAAATTTGTCGAGAGCTTGATAAACATTTTGCTGCTGATTCTCTGTGGGTTGAACAGTGATGGCAATGTATGGAACGAACTGGCCTGGGACGACTGGAAAGCTTGAGACAAGCTGTGAAGTATTTTACGAAATGGAAGGCGAGTAGAGATTAGTCTTGTGAATCAAATAGTGTGGTACTCAAAATAAGGTATGATATTTATACACTATCACTTTGGATCGATTATTTGTCAATTCTATTTTTTGGTCCATGCATTTATCAAAGGCCACATACATCTCACATTGCTATATGCACACCTATCTCTTTATACACACATCCAATGCATTGGTTGCTCTTTCTTGTCTCTGCATTGCTCTCAAACCTCCTCCCTCTTCCTTGTCCTAGCATAGATCCCAGTCCCTTCTTCCTTGTCTTGATGCACGACCCAATCCTCTCCTCTTCTTCTTTATCCCGTCATACCCATACTAAGACAAGAAAGAGTTGGAAGAGAGAATTGGGACTTGTGCTGGGACAAGGAAGAAAGGAACTACTACTTGCACCAAGACAAGGAAAAGGAGGAGGAGATTTGAGACCCATGCCAAAACAAGACAGAGCAGGTTTTAGGTTTTAGGTTTGTGTATAGACATAATGGGTGTGTGTAAAGGAATGTAGGGTGTGCTTGTAGGCTGAGCTTTTAGAAATGTTGAGATCAAAGCATATTGCAAAAAAATAAACATTTTAAAAAATTTACTACAAAATTGAATTAAAAAACAATTTTTTTATATTATATTCTTTAAAAAAATGATGATAATTTATTTAACATCTAATTTGATTGATTACCTTAAAATCACTTAAAAATTAGAAATTTATACTAATATTTCTATTAAAAAATTATAATAGAGTTGACTCTAAGATTACATATTTTATGACATAAATAGGATTACATTCTAATTTTTAAATATAATATAAAAAAAGTTAAAAACTACTATTAAAATAATTAAATTTCTTCCACATATTCAAAAAATCAATAAATTTGATCAATTTATTAAAATATTTTATCTAATAAATATATTATTTCAAGTGTAATCAATACATTATCTCTTTATATTTTATATGCACTTTGTCATTAATTGTATTAATGTGTATAAAGTGAAATTACAATTATAATTTGTGATTTTATAAATAAGAATAAATATTAAATCTAATGTAATTAAATTATATCATAAATAAATGCTACTTCTAGAAATATTTAAATTTAATTACCAAAACCAAACATTATATTTTAAAGTAAAATTAATAAACTACATCTCTTAAATGTCAAAATATACATAATTATTTTAGTAGTATCCACATTTTTTTTTAGTAGTATTGTATTTTTATTACAAAACACATACAATTTTATATACAAAAATAAAAAATGCACTTAATATTGCAAGTAATAAATTTTGATGGATACTCTTATAAAAGAAAGTATATCAATATGGTAGATTTAAAATGTCAACACACAATCTTATACAAGAATGTGTATTCTTGGCATAGCTTTTGTTTATAAATACATAATACAATTCAAGGTTGTATATTGTTAAGGTTGAATTTTAAATGTGAAAATACAATTCCATACAAGACTATGAATCTTCAAGATGGTTCTTTTTTTGGACATACAATAGCACCTAAGAGTATATACTGTCATTATAGTTTTTCTTTTAGATACACAACTCCACTTAAGATTGTGTATAGTCAAGTTTGATTTTAATTTTTAACATACAACCTTGCACAAGACTATGCATCTTTAAGATTTAGCATAAAATTGCTACAATAAATATAATTTTGGTTAATAAGTTAGCTATAATGATTAGCTAAGGAGAAATACTTAAAATTACTTTATAAAATTTAAACAATAGAAATGTTTTAGAAATGCAATGAAATAATTGTACCCAAAAAAAGTACACAAACATAAATGTTAATATATATATAAATAAATAATACATATAAAACTAAATAAAATAGAAAGAATCTACTAGCTCAAATTATAATAATTTGGATCAAAGACTAATGTAAGATTTTGTACTAAAAAATTAAAGAAATTTATATTAAAAAAATTATTCTTTAACATGGCTTATGTATTGGTGGAGTATATTTAGTTTGGGCAACCAATCATATGCAACTTGATAAGGGCAACTTTGGTTGGAGAAGGTTGTTGAAGGCAATCCTATCCATTATCATAAATAACTATTTTCTTAGAATAATCATTAGAATTTTAAATATTTTTTGATATTATTATTGTTAGAATAGATTGGATTGTTAATTAAAAGAAATATGTTTTTATCTAAAATATGAGTATTCTTATGTTATATTTCTAAGAAATTCTTATGAACAGTTCTAAAAATTATTCAATGGTAAGATACATGTATATATATTTGAATATTTTTATACTTCAATAATGACATAGTTACATAGTAATAATCTATAAGTAATAATAGATTTTAAATATATATATATATATATATATATATATATATAATGATATTTTTAAATAAATAAAGTTTTTATAATAATTTTTTTTTTTTTTTTTTTGTTTTTTTTTAATATATTTAAACTTGAAAAAGATATCATATATATACTTGAAATATGTTGAAATATCAAGAATATTCCTATATTCTTGATAATAGCAAATATATCCCTCACTTTTGTAATAATTACAAATCTACCTTAGAGGTAGATAAGATATAAGCTTATTTCCATTTTAGGTGAATCCAAGGCCCAAATCATGTGCTGCATATAAGTTGCGCCCCTTCAAATCGGATGTTGGCATTGCCTCCATTATTGCCACTATTGTATCTCTTTTATTACCTAAGCTTGGCTTTGTTGGTGGCATTAAAGAATTGAGAGAGCATCTATATCCCTCCATTGTGTAGTGTTGGTATGAAGGTGTGAAAATTTACCTCATCTTTGTAGATAGAAGGATTGAAACACCATTCTTTAAAGTTTAGTAACATCTTCTTTCAATCATAAACTTAGTACACTTACAAGATTGGTAAATGTGTAGATTGCTCTTGGCAATGTTTGTGGTCTTAATGAGCAATGTTCTTGTGCACACCTGCACAAAAAAGTTTGTCAACCTTCAAGGCCTTTGAAAAACATAGTCATAAAGTATGATAAGAATACAACATAGTCTTTGAAGCATTCTATAGTTCTAAAAGACTAGAATACATGGAAAGACCTATATTGTAATTAAGTTTTTACATATAAGGAAGTTGAATCAAAGAATTACAATATATTTTCATACAACTTTGTATGACTAGTGTTTCATGTTTTCAAGAACAACCAAAATAAGTAACATAATACATATTGATGAAGTGACTATTAGATATATAAACATAGGTTGTGGTTTAGTTATGTAGGCATTAATTGTAGGAGGAGTTGGATTATAAGAAAGAAAATAAAAGTAGAAAGATAGAGAAATAACAAACATATTGTTCTAGAAGTAAAAATGAATGAATTAATTAATTATCTCAAATTAGCAAACATGTAACTTTATAAAGAAAGATTTTTACATTATATACTTTATAATATCAAAAATTCTAATCTGCCCATACATTGAAGTCAAACTATGGTGTGGAATTAGTAAATAAGAGATTAACTTCAAAAAATCTACTCTATAACTTTTGTTAATAGTTCTTTGCTTTATGTCACAACTATGCTAAAATGTAATTATACAAGATTATGAGTTGTGTTTGCTAAACCATTAACAACATGTAGAAGCTTAAGAATTTTAAGAGGATTGGAAATAATGACAACAATTAGACTATAGTCATGAACTTCTTTGGCACTCATAGAGAAATTGTCATGATTCTACAGCTCTTATTACGCACAATGAGTATGACAATCAAATCTTTCAATGCCAACCTACATACAATTTTGAACCTAATGCTCTTGTTAAGTCTAGTCACAACAATAATCGATCTTGTGAACGTATTGAACTCATGATTGGAAGAAGAGTGTTGCCAAACTTCAAAGAACAATATTCCAATTCCTATATCCACAAAGATGAGATCAACATCGACACCCTCATACCAACACCACACAACAAGATTGATTAATTCACTTAGTTCTTTGATGTTTCCGATAGAGCCAAGTTTAGGTATCAAAGGAAACATAGCAATAGCAATGAAGGCAGCAAAGGCAACACCAATGTCCAACATGTAGAAGGCCTAACTTGTGTGCGACATACAAGTAAGCCCCCAAATTTACCTAAAATAAAAATAAACTCATATCTTATCAAGTTCAAGGGTAGATTTACAATTATCACAAAAGTAAAGGATATACTTGCTATTATCTAAAATACAAGGGAATTCTTGATATTTCAACATATTTCAAAGGTATATTTGATATTTTTCCTTAAACATACTGCTAGCTTTGGACAATACCTTTCTACAAATTCATGTAACCCCAATACAGATTCAAAGAATGTCAAAATGTTTCCACATCGATCTCCCACAAAATGAATTACACAATGAATGCTAGACAAGAATACTACTCAAATAAGTCCTCAAGATATGACACTGAGAATTATCAAGAATTATCACCAAATGGAGGTGTATAGATGATTGTGAACTTGGATGTGAAGACGCAAGGATTATGATCCTTGAACGGTTGGCGGCCTTAAACATACCAGATGATGGGAGAGAAACAATGGCTGAATCATACTTACCTTAATTATGGAGTGTCATTGTTTCTGTATACAACTTTAAGATATGAATGCAATCCATAACAAGAATATGGAAAGCAAAATTAGTCGATCCAAAGCCACCCACAAACATTCTGTACCAAAAGACTGCCAACCTTTTGATAAGTTGACATTAAAACCGATTTGAGCAGTCGCCTCTAATTATTGTCTCCTAATCAACTGCTTATGTCTGATCAAACTCACATTCACAAGCACCGACCAGCATAAACTATACCGCTTATGTTTCAATAAGTCCAGGCTGCTGCAGCTAACATTGACGGTACCATGCTCACTGAAGCAACCAACGTCAGGGGCCACCTCAGAGACAAAAACCTGTCAGGAAAACAGAGTGATCTTGTAAACCTTCCGCCATTTAAGAATGATAGAACTAAACATCGCTGTATTTTTCACTTCCAAAAAGCCACTAAAAATTCATGGAGTATTACATATTTGCCTTACGATATCTGAAAGCACTGTGTGAGTGAATAGTGAGTGAGAAATACCAGTAAGGCACCAATTTTAATCTAGCATAGACGAAGTCCACGCCAAGTGCCTTCACAGAAAAACACAAGCAGGTCTTCTCAACATTGGGTACAGAATGAAGTGTGAAACACACTTGGTGTCATTAAAAATCGTTAAATAAATTTTCGGAGTATTTTAATTGAAAAAATCTCACTTAACATTATGTAACTTTAGAGGCCTATTGTACACAGCACACTGTTCATAAGGTTTATGTTAAATATAACATGTAAAACCGAGATCTAACGCATGCATTTGCAAATCGTTGATAAAAAAAAATATCATTGTTCAGCTTCCAGTTTGCAGTAATCAAAGTGATGAAGCGTATAGATGTAGATCACTTGCCGTCCAAAGAGAGAAGATAAGGAGAGCAAATTTGCAGCCAGGAGGCAGAAGTAGAGCTGTCCACGCCATTAAAGAAGGCACCACGCTCCAAACATACCTGATTCGCGAACAACGTTTCAGGTAATTTCGAAAGACAGAACATCGTTGTGATGTTTGTACGATGAGTTAGTGAATTCTGCTGTAGTCTCCGTAGCTAGTAGATTGGCTATTCAGGCGTGAAAAATTAAGCTCACCTTGTTGTCATTAACGTCATGTTAGCAACTCCACCTTTCCCTGGAGCTGCACCACAGGAAAAAATAGAATTCAACTGTTTTTGTAATGTGTGATATGAAAGAAAATCTATACCTAGAAGTTAGAAAATTTGAGCAAAAACTCAAACCTTGGACTTAGGGATACTCTGCGCTGTAGCAACCAACCTGCATAGTCAGCCATAGCCAAGCCCCAGTGGATTGCACCAAGAAATGAAACAATAGAAGCACCATAAGCAGCCTGAGCATCGGCATAAGATACGGCCACGATAGCCTGCACGTATTATATCTTCATTAATATGCTATGTGCTGCTTTGTCTGCATAAGAAAACCTCCGGCATAGTGACAATCTGATAAATATTTTCAATTGACCTACTAACTAGGGCATGTTCCAAGGAGAGGTGTACCTACAATGATCTCACAATTCACATCAAAAAGGATTAATAACTTACAGGTATTGGGAGCATTTGTGCGAGTGGGGGAGTTAATGCAACGAACGGAATAAGTCCGGCTGCTCCTAGAAGTAGTGCAGGAAAAGGAACAGCTCCAAAACCCAAAAACATCTGCTTCAAAGCCCCTGACTTCTTCGGTTTCGATTGCTCTGAGGGCGTGCCCTGCAGCCACCAGTGAAGCTCACTTAACCGCACAAGGCTGAAGGCATGACTATTTTACATTTAAGGTCGGTGCGACGGTTGGATGCCAATTCTTCATGACAACATCAAACTCAGGTGAAAATTAATCTCTAATCGATCACCTGACACGACTAGCATGTCCAACAAAGCGGTACATGAGGCAGAAGAAACTGAAGTGGACAAAGAGACGGTTGAGGGTGCTAAATTTATTGTTAACTTTGAGGAAATGCTTCTAACGTTGCCGTGAATTGCATTTTATTTTGACGTCCACACAAGATATGAATAGCTTCGGAGTATTGGAAAATGACTCCTGAGCCCTAGAAATACAGAATGCAGATAATAAACAAGTGGTCATTACAGAGGGCAATACTGAGATGGTCCGAGGTGTTGCTGCTGATAATTCAGGGTTAGTAGGTGCTTGTGCTGAAGTCTGTGTTGGAGTTTGTGGTGTCTTTGTTGACATCTGTGTTGCAAAGCCCTGGAGAAAGACCTAAAGCAGAAGAGAAAGTCCTGTTAGGGGCATGAGGAATGTCATGTACAATCAAAAGCCTAAAATTCATGTTCAAACCCTCGTTGCATAAGACCCGAATACGTTAAGTTGTTGCAATTGAAAATAAAGAATTGCATACCCAACATATGTCTCGCCTTGTTCTGATTTCACTCATCCATCACCTCACAACAGTTAACTTTCCCTAAAACCCTGAGGAAACTTTCGTGCAACGCTTACGTTTCAACATTGTTGTGGAAGAATTAGGTTAAAGATTACATGATTGTGGGACCTTGGCCTGAAACAGCCTGTCGACGCTCTCTCAGAGCCGCTCGCACAGATGCTTGGTGTCAATCCTCGAAGACTATCCATTGAATCCATTGCAGCTTTGGAGGCAAAAGAGTACGTGCACTGGAACCGAAATGACGGCGACGACCCAAATCCCACTCCATATTCCTCTATTCTAAAAACCGGCGCAATCGATGACAGCTTGGGCAGAAAATTTGAGGAGGAACATGAAAAGAAGACTTGAGGGTTGTGACAAATGCGATGCAGGGATCTAAAAAGAGCTCTACCTGCTGCATGTCCAGCCCTCATTGTTGCACCAGTGGTTTCTCCAACACCAAAACCTATTCCTTGCTCAATGTAAGCCCTCTCTAAAGCCCCCAAAAACCATCTCCACAAGCTTCAGACCATACAATACTCACATGCAATGCAAAAATTCCCTCATTATCACACACCTGTGGTGGATTACCCTCATATGATAAATAACTAGGGTAAAAGGTACTTGTACTGAATCCCTTCCGATTGTTGTCCGCGTATCAGTTTAAGTACTTGGACCCTTTGCATCATTTAACCAAATATAATAATCTTGTAAAGGACATGCCACGTAGGAGTCTATCCAAATTCTTCTACTTTTTTTTACCTTATTGCTAGTAGGGTCACCTGCCAAATAATTCGGGCTGATGTGATCACTTGGAATATAACTGAATTTCTCAGCTCACAGCAGCCCACACCTTCTCAAACTCGAGATCTTACTGCACTGGAACTGCGGGTCTCCATTTTTCATTATTGTGGTCAACCTTCTTATAATTGGCCAGCAATCCAGGCAACCAGGAAGGAATGCGCTGGAAAGCTGAGCAACATTGCAATTTTAAATTCGGAAGATAATGATAAGAGAAACATAGCTTGGGGATCTGAAATGAGCACGAGGTACTTGGTTATAGTATTGCCTCAATTCCGGATCCAGTTGCCGCACATGGTTGCCAACATTTGATCGATGTTGATGTGGCATTCTGTGAAGTTAGACATAATATGTTGGAGTCGATTGAACGAGCTACTTGGGTGTTCGACTCTCCTCACGCATTGTCCGGCAAGCACTCGTAGGACTTACGTGGAGATAGGCTAGTCGTTTGGCAGGGTCTGAGAATGAAGAGGGTGCTTGTGATTCGAGATGCTAGTGAGAGAGTTGGCCGGTTTGCTCTACGGCTACATTTCTGAACCTTAATGTTTCAAATCATCCTCTGAAGCTTCGTTTTGTTGTCAAAATTTTGTAGGTTTGTTGGGTTAAACTCATTACGTCCTGAGCAGAGGCTGATCGAACCTTGTACCACCTTCAACCTCAGCTCTTAGTCCAATTTGAAAGGAGACTCGTAATGCTGTGAATTACAAGTGCGCGAGGTCAGAGCGCGACACTTATTTTTTGAAGCTTTCAAGGAGAGTGGAGACTGGCAAGTGCCTTTTTTGCCCCAAATTTAATTGTCTCCCCATTTTGAGTGTCATGGCTAGCTATATAGCTCCATTTCTTGGAGCCCATAAACTCAAATTTCTAATCGAGAGATAGTCAAGGTTGGATAATCACTATGCCGCTCTAAGAATGCCGTATTGTGACATGATCGTGTATTGCGTAGCGTAGGAGTGATCGATTATCACGGATGGGGGCTCAAGTATCCAAGGAAAGGCTGGTGAAAAAGGAGAAACGCCAACTGAAGGAGAAAGTCTCCACCTGCGACATCACTTTCCCAGGATGCGACTTCCACCACCCTAACCACAAGGAATGGATGTCCACCCTCCCCCTCCAGAACCTCAAGCTCCGCGACGTCGTCTGGCCGGGCACCCATGACTCTGCCACCAACAAGATCGGCGTGCCAGGGATCTCTCGCCCCTTCGCTCGCTGCCAAAAGCTCTCCTGCTACAACCAGCTCTGCATAGGCGTGCGGGTGCTAGACATCCGCGTGCAAGAAGATCGCAGAGTATGCCACGGCTGCCTCAAATCCTACCTCGTGGACGTTGTCATCAATGACCTCAAAAAATTCCTGGCAGAAACCAGCAAGGAGTTCGTCATCCTTGAAATTCGGACCGAGTTCAACTACAAGGACCCTCCCGCATTCGATCAGTGGCTCATCTCGCAGCTGGGCGACCATCTCGTCCCCCAAAATGCCAGCTTCCTTGGCAGACCCTTGATAGAGCTTCTCCCAAAGCGTGTGATTTGCATCTGGAGGCCCCGGCAATCCCCGGCTCCATCTCCAGGCTCCCCGCTCTGGAGCTCCGCATATTTGAAAGACAACTGGATCGACACTGACCTACCGCTTACGAAGTTCTCTGTCAATATCACAAACCTACAGAAACACCCGCCTAACGATCAGAGGTCGTATTTCTACAGGGTGGAGAATACTGCAACGCCGCAAGTTACAGGGCCTGTTCTGTGTGTGTATCCTGTTACGAGCAGAATTCGGGGGTATGCGAGGTTATTTTTGGCAGAGGTGTTCAAAGAGGGGCTGGGTGACCGGTTGCAGATCTTCTCTGGGGACTTTGTGGAGCCAGATTTTGTAGACAATTGCATTGGCGTCACGATTGCTAGGAATAACTTGCAGTTGGAGCAGTCCGATGCCACTGGATAGAGGGACGGCTGCTACAATCGGAAATGAGAGGCAGCCTTGGAAGGTCGTTGAGGGTCATGGCGATGGAGAAAACATGCTAGCAACGTTGATTCTGCTTCTGCTGTAAAATGGTATTAAAAAATGTTTGGTCTCAGTAAGTAGAACAAAAGATTGTTATAAATAGAGATCATTGTCTCAGGATTCTTCTGAATTGCTTGTACAGCTTCTCAAATCTTTCGAAATTCGCATTCTTATTCTCTAATCAGCTATGTCTGATCTGATTCCAACATGGGATGCTTAGACTTTTATTCACCGTTCAGCATCCATTCTTGAGATACGCTGTTTGCGAATCCTGGGAGTGCCACTTGAGTATCCAATTAACTTGGTAATGCTGCATACTGTGCAACTGACGACTTGACGTTTAACCTGGGCCTAGAGCTAACTCTGGCTTTACATCAATGTTTGCTGAGTACAGTTATCAATCAAACTGGGCCCCAGTCTTGAATAGGCCCTAAAGCCTACATGTCACTTAAATTCACCTATTCCACTCAAACATCAACACAGAACAGATAGCCCTGACATAGCGACTACGAGCCTACCAACTCCAAATGTGTTTTCACCACACCACGCCCGACCGGACCAATATAAGTTGAAGGAAATTTGCTGCTAGCCCTACTCTATTAATTAAAACTCCACAACACTACATGGTTAAGTGTGTTCTTAATTAAGGCAACGAAAAAAGCACATCTCGTGGTGATCTGTCATTGAAGCTTGATCGAGGTGTTCTGCCGAAGGATCTTTGTCCCAGGGACTGGCAGTTCTCATACTCTTGCTCCTTGATAGTGTCAGAGTATGCATCTTCCAACCCCTTGTGCGCCTTGGCTATGTCTTTCCTCGTTATTATGCCCACCACCCTGCACATAAGTCGTTCATTAAAACCCCCTCGCGTCTATAAGCTTCTTCAAAGATTTAGTCGAAGTTGAATGATCAGGACGAAACTTCATCTCTGTGCGAAAAAAGGATCTCAACAAAATAGTACACCTGTTGGTTGCATCGGTCACGCAGAGATGTCTCAATCCCAACGTTCGGAAAATAATGTACACCCGCCGTGCTGAGGTTTCCTCGCGAACCTGCGGCAACAGTGAGGATAATTCTTGTAAATAAATCTTAAACAAACACATACACAAACCAAGCGAATCTTGCATGATAAAGTTGTCATATAAAGGCCTTTTAGACGCACCGTCAATGGAGCACGATTCATCCATGGCCGGAAGTCCACCGCCAATTCTTTGCCAGTACGGATAGCCTGCTCCACATCCTTGCACTTGGGATCACCTTCAGAAGAGTCGGTGCTACTGCTGCCGTTCACACCCGGCGTTGCGAATTCCTACATAAGAAAAGCCAAGCACAGATGAAATTTATATGCTCACTTAACTTGAATGACATAGGATCAGCCATTCATCGCCACGTCGTGTTATGACAAAAGGAAAATCTCGTGTAAAATGAGATACCTGTAAGAGTTCATCAATTTCCAGTTCATTAACTGCCTCGGGCCGTGAGCTTAAGTATCGCCGGTGAGGGTAGTGAGCGTGATGGTATACACCCATGAGTCGGTCCAGATATTGTTGCGCCATCGCCGACTTCGGCAGGCGTAAACTGCAACTGTGACGCCTGCGTCGATTCAATGTTAATGCGTCTGCCTCAAAAATGCAGCGTTGCTCTAATAGCAGCAAGACCTGGTGTCTTAAAATGACTCCAACTAGTTGACCATCAGAGCTGAAAACATCTCTGTGCGTGTGTCGAATGATGGGAAATCCATTGTGAGATGTTTCGCGAAGCACTTCGACAATCTCGGCTACGGAGGTGATCTGTATAAAAAATGCAGCGGTAGAAAAAGTTATGGAAAATCAGACATCAAATTGGGAGTGACCGTTTTGAGACTGTACCAAAGTACAAATGAAGACGAGCAATGGATTCGGCAAGGCTGTCACATAGGATAACCAATTTCGATTGAAGTTGTTGGTTACCTCCTTAAAAGATATCACATCTGATGCCATGATGTCTCTTGCAGTGATCAAATGAAGTTTTTGCGAAGGCTCACTTTGCAAAAAATGGACTTCCCCTGCTTCAAGGAAAACGAAGCCATCAAATTTGTAATAATGATTATTTTCTAGAGCATGAGCCAAATTGATCAAAGACATGGAAGACGGGAGCAGGATAGGAAAGAAGAGAATTTCCAAGCATGGTTGAATCTCATGTGACTCAATGCCTGCTGTTTCCTTGCAAATTGGGAAATCAGAAGTTTTACCTATGCGCTCCAGGTCGGACTCGTAGGCTCCTGCCGAGTGAACATGGTGAGCCACCCAATTGGAGAGGACGATAGAAAGTATAACTGGCAGTAAGAACTCAATTCCACCTGTGCCCTCAACCATGATCACCACCTGTATTCAAACGATAATTAAAGGACTAAATATAACATGATAGGGCTCACGTGATCAGCAAAAGATATTTTGTTAAAATTCGGAGTGTCCAGATTGTCATCCTTTAAAGGGATAGCAGATTTTATTGAGAATTCGGAAGGCACTTTAAACCAAAATCCAGTGCCAAACTCCTTAGGATCAAACTTTAGTTCATTTCTCGGCTGCGAATTCCGTCATATCACTGTGACCCGAAACCACTAGAAGTAAGCTCCGCTGTACATAAAAACGTGCCTTGAAAATTCTTGTAGTTGTTCAAATTAAAGAGTAATATCCACATGACTGTCAGCAACAGATTAAATGTTGACCATGGCACTATACCAAGGAGATGGATGTTCGAAAAACCCCACCAAGCATTGCAGTCGCTCCAACTAGCGCATGTATACCAGGTTGTACCGACCATCTGCGAAACCAGTCACCGAATGTCAACTAGTAGCAAAAGAATTTCTACAACCATAAACTCTATGTGATTTCCAGAATAAGAACATTTAATTGCGAATATATGATCTCATTATTATCCAGAATGAACTCGAAATTGTTGACCATATGACTAGCTGTTGAGCAACAGTTGGTTCAATACAATGAGGTCCTCAGATCATTATTGAAAAAGCCTCATTGCTTCAACATGCAATCTAGAGTTGCAGAACTTCTTAGAATTTACAGCGTAGTACTTATTTCTTTTTTTGATTTACAGATGAACATAAAAGGGTGCTTATGTCTGTCCTTACCTTGGGAAGAAGATTTGAAAAATACGCCCCAAAAATGCTCCAAACGATGTGCCAACCTGCAAAGAGACAACGTAAGACAGAGGCAAGTCGATGAGTATCCTAAACATCCCATAGAACGACCGCCATATATACTCCTCTGTAGATTCCAAACATTGACTCACTTTTGACTCAGTCCCTCCTCTAAGGAAGTCAGCAGAAGATCATTCAAATATAATTGTGCTGTGTTTTTTGGATCTGTATCTGTATTCATAATGCCTACTGAAAGACGCTAAACAGAAACGAACTAAAAGCACTTCAACTGATGAAGGAAAAAACACTTGCCATGATGGAAGGCATAAAAATCCCGCCGGGAGTTGCAATGAGGTACGCGAGGATAAACAGCAGAAGGAAGAACTCGTGTGGATGATTAAACTGTTGATTGTGAACGGAGAATCACCTGATCCTAAATTTAGTAGCTTCTGAATTGTCATAAATATCGAGAAATTTCATTTGCAGACTTCAGTTTCAAGCTGACTGTGTATTAGGAGGTAGAAAATCAAACCAACACGCTTGCATCGTAGGGCACAACACAATTGAACAAAGAATAAAACGGAAATTTTCATCTGAAAAGCACTTGGAGCGGGATGATAAAGAACCTGGTGAGGGACGGCAAAGTACAGAGAGGCCAGGTCATTGTAAGTTTGAACCCCAGTGTCCTGATCCGACAGCGGACATGCATATCTATACCAATACTCATCGCCCTCTTGTCTGCGGAAAACGGTGAGCATCTAGTTATTCATAAGTTCAAATCCACAGAGTATATTTTAAAGTGACAAACTCAACCAAGGAATTAGCGAAATCGAAACTAATGTTTCATAACATCAATACTCGGCAAGTCGTAAAGGTGTGAACTGTGAATCTTCGCCGTTATAAAAATAAAGCGCACTGTCACACTTTGAAGTACTTTGATTTTATAACTAACATGATTTCATATATATGATTCAACAAGCGATATGCATCGAGCAACATACCCTTTTTGGATGGGTAGACAATGCCCAAAGTAGTAAGGCAGCATAAAAATGGCGTCGACTGAAATGAGTGTGACGAGACACGCCTCAAGCACCCTGCACCCATTAAATCACCACAACACAGTTAAATCTGCCATTACGCCCAATTCTCACCTAAACTTCTTTAAATGCGTGCAACGCTACCTTAGTTTACCAGTCACGACATTGGCGTAGGGCAGCACTGATTGACATGCACTTCATGCATTACTATTTAGAGATTACTTTGTCATGGATATTGAATTCATGTTTATGTGAAGGACGAAATGAACCTAAGAGCCCGGTGCTTTGAGGAGGGCCGAAATTGAGCAAGCCAGTCGTGAATTATGTTCAGAAAAGCACCAACTCCTCCAGCCAAGACACTTGTGATCACAAATAGTGGCAAGTCCATCACGTTGAACTCAGGCTAGCACACAAACACGAAAAGCTTTAAGAAAACTTTAATGAGCCATATTCGAGCAAGGTACCTTCCATATCTTTAAATGCGCAGTTACAGTCAAGACTATTTCACATACCTTCAAACTGTGAAAGGAAATAGTGCCTGGCAAGGAGAATGAAAATTTCCTGTCATTTCCAGCAGAACTCGTAAAATATGAATAAAATTTAAGGTCGACCACACAGGACGTTTGCGTGCAAAAGTGGACTCTCATATAGACAACTGGAGTTCGTCACTAATCAGATTCAAGCATCCAAGAATCAAGACAAACAAAACAGGGGGTACCGTTTATTAAGCCATGACAAAACCATGGTGGCGCAAGTTGTGCATAAACGTGACCGCCACATAACCTGCCAACATAGCGTACACACCAACACAAGATACTGGTGGCATTTAAAAAGATCTGAACATTATGAATTAATTTGGGTTTTAAACTTAGTCAAGGAATATGAGCATAGTCATAGAAACGAATCATATTCAAAATGCACGAACCTTTCTAGACCAGAAACTAGAGTCTTCCTCCATGAAAAAGAGCACTCCACCAATCGGTGCACCAAAAGCTGCTGCCAAACTATCAAACAAAACAAATGAGATTTAATTTTGATCGGTGGTGAGCCTTTCATTGGACTAGAACCCATTTCAATCAAGAAAAATTGTTCTTAAACTGAAAAAGTAAGAATCTACAAAGTCTGCTCAGATTAACATAGTTCCCAAAAACAGGCACATACCCCGCTGCAGCTCCAGCCGAAATGAATTCTCGCCGGTCCTTATCATTATAAAAATCCTGTATTTCACTTTTTCGGTGTCATTTGCGTACCCTGCGCTGGAAAGACCTATAGAAAACTTAAAATGTAAAATATTATTCCTCAATTTAGTGGATAGCTACACACTCAAGATGGAATTCGATCACAGTCCATGAAGCATTTCTACAAGAATTCACTCATACTATATCCTTACTTACGAAGATCCAAGCTTTCGGTGTAAGCTCCCTGCGCTTATTCCGCCAGGTTTCCCGAAGGGTTTGTGGAGCAAGCACACTGCGTTCCCTTATTGGAGGCCGACCGTGCATCCAAGTAAGTTCAGACGCGATCGCACCACCAATATGAACCAGAGGCCCCTCTTGTCCTATCTGATCGCAACATCGAGTAAAACTTCACATTCAGAATACACAACTTCAATATAAGTGGTAAAATCTCAGAAGATTCAACCTCCACGTGTAAAAATTAATTCCACTGAACACAGGTAACAAGTAACGTAGAAAATCCTTGAAAAGGCAGCAATAAGCCGCACCGGTAAGCCGGATGAAATTGTGCAGATGGTGCCTAAAATCTGTCATTGAATTATCACAGATGCAAGACCTTAATTAGTTACACTAGTTGCGGCATACGTGCAAGAACGTACACAAAGTATGATGGAAGCTTTCGAAATAATGTTTGATACTATCCAGCATGATTATTGGATTAGGCTGAATGCTGAAAGACAACAAAAGACCTTTGTAAAGAGAGTTCTATGCCGAAAAAAATCGGGTATGTCATTCCCGTTCAGATAAGCCATGACTAGAGTAACCTGCACAACATATTCAATATGCGATCGTTGAAAAGACGTCAATACCACGTGCAGAGCCCACATCATTGCAGTCATCCGCACATTGCAAATTGAGTTGTTCAGGGAAGAATGTGAAACTACATGAACTTTGCGAATAGCTGAAATCATTTAGGACAGTAGAGAATCTGAGAGATGCATCCATACCCCTCCACCCGCGGCTGCCGGAGCCCAGAACATAACCAAGAAGCTCGAAAGAAGTACCAGGGCCACACCTATGGCCGCGTAGTTGTAAAAAACAAGTACTAATCCGCGCTCAAAAAGTTTTTCTGTCAACTCCTTCTGCAGCTCGTACGATTGAAAAATCAGAGGTACATCTATTTACATTACATGAATTTCCAGAAGATGAGAGTAGAAGCTGAGATGAGTAAACAATAGGTTCGACAACTTTCTTCCTTACGTATGTAAAAGAATAAACACAACTTACAATCATAAATATCTAACGAAAAAAAAATCTTGAAGCCTTCACGCCCTGAAGCAAAACACCGTTGAATTTAAGTACATGAAGCACAATGCAGAGTCGAATTTTAGCGACTGCAGAGCTCAAAAGTTAAGAGTTAAAATGATATCTTAATAAGATTACCTTGTATATGATAATAATATCTTGAAAAGATTCGATAGTGAACGCAATCAGTCCTTCAAAACAGGAAAAACGACTCAGATCAGCCCAAAACCTTTCTCAAAGCCCCCTAATTCTTGTAACGTCAGAACTATGAAAGTAACCTGAACTTCCTCTAGTTTCAACTGAATCTTGGAACACCCTTAAACCAAGTAAAACCTTGATTGGGAGAGAAATTTACCAACAAGAAGTCCTATTATAATTGTAATCATCCACTTCGAAAGCGTAAGTCCCGTATACCTGTATGGCCTCATTATATCCACTTGTCATAAAAAGTGATATGAACACAACAGTCAACCATCTTGAACACAGCTCCAAAATACCATTGCTAATTATTCATTACGAGAGAGGACAAAGTTCCGAGCATTCTTTTAACTAAATTGGAATGCACGCAGAGGGATTTTGTAAACCACAAACGGAGTATAGTACCCATATATTTTTCGATTAGTTCGTCGCTTTTTGACCCTGTCATGAACCACATTACGAATGGTCTCATAATCGAGGCTCTCAACTCCAACATCATCATCGATTAGGACCTTGACTTCCTGATTCTGACTAAACTCGTAGCCTTGGTCGAAGAGTAACGGAACTTCCGCATCAAAATCCGTGTCGACCATGGTCGCTCGTGTGTCTGCGAGTGCAACACGTAGCACCGTAACAATTAGAACGAACCCCCCCACAATGTTGAACAATCCACTGCCTTACATCCTCAGTAGCTACTTTGGAATCGACTCTCAAAGCCTACGTCATAAATCCGTTAGAGTGGAACAATGAACCACACAGATCAGAGAAGACGAAAACTAGCTGAAGAGAGATATAGTTGAAAATACAGAAGTTCAAAAACCGCAACACACAGATTTTAATTACAACTATACCGACAATATCAAGCATCGTTTGAATCTTTGGGTAGGATCACACTGCGCTTAAAGAGAACTGGGATTTCTCATACGTGATCAAGGATCTTAGTATTTGAATGAGTATGGCGCAGCAGGAAGAAGTGATCAAGAAATTTGGCAAATTTCTAGATATTAAGTCGAGATTCAATGTTTGTTTGTAGCATCGATTCAAATGCTGCGCTAATAATTATGCAAGGCTCCTAGGGAGGAAATTATTCACGATAAACTCATAATTTACACCCACACAAATCCTTGCTAAAATACTATTGATTTCTCAAATCGCTCGCGGCAATCCCCATGAACGACCAAGACCCATAAGTACCCAGCAGCTAACTTTACCACCAGTTGTTGATCGCAGCAATAGGAAGCAGAAAAGTCAGCTTGCTCTGGCTCTGGAGCTCAGAAGAGTGCGCGAGCAGTCACCCTCGGCAAATGACGACTAAGAATTGCTTGTAAACCACGAAACCCAGATAACAGAATCTAGTTCAGTTAAGACTTGAGACAGCTTACTATCGTCACAACTACATTGTAAGGAATAATCAGTAAATAAATAAATCAATAAATCAAACCAAACCAAAGCAAACAAAGAAAATGCTCTAAGACCAATCAGACCACATAGGCAACTGTTGGATCACTTTTAATTGATGCCAGAAAAGCTTGCACTTGCTGTCGCTGCTATTCATTCTTACATGAGACTTGCTGTAGTAGAAGTCTAAGGTATTCCTGTTTACGTCCAAGGCTCCTCATCGCTGAAGTCTTTTGAAACCTCCATCCAAAAAACACCCGAAAGACAACTCCAACCCATCGTCCTAGCGCAAGATGCCACTTCTCTCTAGCTTCCCAGATATACAACCCACGTCAGCTCCATGACCTTATACAATGGTCCGACACAGCCTCACCCTCCAAAAAAAACACGATGGCAAAGATTCACAAGAATCTTATGAGTGAAGAATCTCAATTAACAGAAATGTATTAGAAAGGAGAATGACATGCTAAGTTTAACAATCTAATAAAGACTGCAACAGAGATTTGGCATGACATCCTTGAGCTCTCACCAAATGAAGGTGGCAAATAAAAAACATCGCCTCCAATGCAAAAAAAGTGCCTATTTTAAACTCCATCTCATGAGAAAAAGTGGGACCATATTTTGCAAGAAATATCTTAACAATAGCCGTAACACTCGTGGGCTCCTTACATCTGGATATAAACAAAGAAGATTGCTAGTTTATATTTCCCGAGCTCTCTGTGCTGAGGTGGGTGATGACTAAATGTTGAAGACACCAGAACGGAGAAGACGGCTGTAGCTGTTGACAGCAAAGGCAATCAACAACACAAGCTTGCAAGAAAGAGTGAAGACAAAAGTGGTGGGCAGAGCTCCTCTCCTACCAGCTATCTCCATGATTTTTGACCAATAGGAATGGAGATTTTCATCATCCATCTCCATTCATCTATATTGGTGCTTTAATTACTCCCTTTGCTACCAAAACCCTTCTTCAATCCTTTTTTTTATAAGATTTACATAATTTATGCTCTAAACACTAAATAAAAGAACCAAAATAAGTTTCCAAAGATCACCAATGTCTGACAAAGCTGATTCTAAATATTTAGAAGTTACTATCAACCAAAACCAATCTTAAAAGCCACTATCAAAAAAGAAATTAAAGTTATACAAATTCTATAGTAATCTTTTTAAACAACTTCTTGTCAAGGTAATAATCAAATTATATTCTACAACCAACTAAAATCTACTAATATGGCTTTCACCATGTTATTTAGTAAATCATATATTAAGTACATAATTACATTATTTTCATATAATAGCCAAACCACAACACGACACCGTACAACTAGAATCTTATACAAATTCTAATGAAGGTCTTATCCTCTCTTTAAAATCTTCTCATTGTTTTATAATAGATATGCATTTAGGACCTAATAATTATAAAGCCTGCAACAAATTTAGGAGCCTCAGCTTGTTTTTTAGATGTAGAATTTGTTAAAAGTCATAAAATACAGTTAGTACAAAAAATCAAACTTGTTCATTTAGAAATCATAGATGGTCGTCCGTTGTCTTCTGGAGATGTTACTCATGAAACACTTCCTATAGATGTAACAATAAATGGTCATAGTAGTTGCATAATCTTTAATATAATTAGATCTCTCTCTAATCCAATTATTTTAAGTTTATCATGATTAGAAAAGTATAATCCTTGCATAGATTGGATTTCTTGTACCCTTAACTTTTCTAAAAGCATAATTAAGAGTGAAATTAATCCAATAGAAAGTCATAAGTCTAATACAATTAAACCTATGTTTATAGGTGCAAGAGCTTTCTTGCATGATGCAAAAGAAGAATCATCTTGTGATATTTATGCCACACCTCTTTCTAATGATACAAGGACTTCAAGTGGCATTCCCAGCCAATATCAAGAATTTCAAGATGTATTTGAAAAAAAAAATGCAGATACTCTTGGAGAACATTGTCCCTATGATTGCTCAATTGACCTTCAAGAAGGAGCACAACCACCATTTCGACCAATCTATAGTTTATCACAAAATGAAATGGCTAAACTCAAGAAATATACTGAAGAAAATATGCCCAAGAATTTCATATGCCATTCCAAATGACCATCATGAGTTCCAATCTTATTTGTGAAGAAGAAAAATAGATCATTGCAGATGTGTGTTGATTATCAAGGTATCAACAAGATCACCATTAAAAATAGATATTCTCTACTTTTGATATCTGGACTTCTTGATCAATTGAATCAAGCTAAGATCTATACAAAAATAAATCTATGGAGAACATACAATCTAGTACGTATTAAAAAAAGATATGAATAGAAGACTGTGTTTCCAACTTATTTGTGAAAATCAATCAAGATCAAATAAATAAGACAAAAACAAACAATAACACAATTGCCACCCCTTGGCAAACGCACCAAAATGTGAGGCCAAATTTCACCACTTGATGAAACCTATGCAATACAACAAGTCCAAGAGGTGGAATTGGAGAGCTCCCAATTGTGTAATTGTTAGATTAATTTAAATCTCTATATTAAAAATTCAATTAATTTTAGGCCTTCCAAGCAATGGTTACCAATATTAAATTAACATATTAAATGAAATTTACTATGCAACCATAGTAAAAATAATTAACTAAATTATTACTATTAATTGACCATAAGAATAAAAACTTAAGTTTGAATTAAAAGATAAATTAAAAGTTAAGTTCAAAAAAGTTAAAGTTAAAAATTAAGATTAAAAGATTAAGTTAAAAGTTAAAAATAAAAGTTTAAATAAAAAAATAATTAAGTTAAAAGTTAAGATTAAAAGTTAAGTGAAAAGTTAAAATTAAAAGTTCAATTTAAAAGTTAAAATTAAAAGTTAAAGTGAGAATATTAAAGGTTAAAAGTTAAACTTAAAATTTATTAGCCAAAAAGTGAAATGTAGAGATTACAAGTCACTGTGAAGATGATAGTAAAAATAAAGTAAGAGAGGTGAAAGCGAGGGTACCTTGACAACACGTAAGGATTGAAGGTAGTGACCTCCTTCTACTCCAAAATTTGCCAAAATTTGTTATTGGCTTCAATTTGAATGATTCTTAGCTTATTGCAAGGCTAACTTAAAGGCGGTTTTGATACAACAATCTTCATTGCAATCTAATGACACAATCGTGAGAATTCCTCCTTTGAAGTTGAGTGATCTAAACTGTAGTGGTGACCAACCCTCTTCACTTAGAAATTTACTAAAAATTCAGATTGTCTTAAAATTCAACAAAACTTGTTCCTTTAAAAGCTTAACTTATAAAGCTTGATGCTTCCAAAATTTTAAATAAAGCCAATTATCAAGCACTGAGAAATGCCTTTCCAAACTCGATTGATTCAAACTACAAAGGCAGTCGACTCCCTGAAACTCAAAAATTCACCAAAAATTCCTTCTTACTCCAAATCAAGCGAAACTTATCTTGTCGGAAAGCTAACAACAAAAGCTACAACTATTCAGAATCTCACATTGAAAAAAAGAAACTGAGTGACTGATTGAAGAAAATCCAAGGCCCTTGAAACCCTTGGGATATATGAAGGCCGAGGAGATATCTACCTCAATGAAACATATTTTAACACTTAATGACCACCCTTCACAATGCAAAATCCATACATACACAATCACAAGGTTCACAATGAGAATTAAAATCTAAATAAAATTAAGATTAGAGTTTTGGCCAAATTTTGGCATGGCTCCGCCCTTCACTCAAAAGAGGAGACAGAGAGGGCTTGGAAAACCAAGCCTCTCTTATGCAATTGAGTGGAGGCTCGTAGAAGGGTGGCTACATCTTCACCCTTGATTTTTAATATCCCTAATCTAGATCTACGGCCTTCATTCATCCAAGAGCCAATCTCATTACCAAGGCTGATGGCTCTTGTAAGTAGTCAAGAAAGCATTTTTTTTGTAAATCTAACTTCACTATTGTGTTCAAAACACCTTTTCAAGCTAAGAATGACTGCTCACATGCCTCAATCAATGCTCAATTATAATTTTCATGGAAGTTTTTACTTACAAGGATCTTGGCAATTTTTGTGAAATTCTTCAAAATGAGAATTTCATTGCTTTTCTAGTATTTTGAAGGAGAGGTTGCTGATCTTATTTTCTTCACTCCACAAGGTAAATCCGGTGCCACTATTGCATTAAAAAGACTCCCATTAAGTAGAAGAACCACCATGCCACTTAAATTTATCAAATTTGGAGGAAAATTCAAAATTATCATTGTTAACTTCCCTAAATCTTTTAGAGAATTATAATTCCAACTCCTAAATCATGTGAATGATTATAGATGCACTCATTGGCTTTTAGTCAATCCTTATAGTAATGATTAATAACCTCTAAATTATTAAACTAACTAAGTTGCTATTCTAATTTTCTAACTCTTATCACTTTAGTCATAATTAATCTAATTCAAGGAATTAGGCTATAATTTATACGATCAAGGGTTGTAATCCTAAAAATTCTATAAAACTAAATTACACTTATATAAATCCTAATCTAACATGTTTAATTATCATAAAATAGGAAAATAATAAAAATTTATATTTTAGAATATAATTGAAAGTTCACAAAGCTTAAAAACAACAAAAGATCAATGCAGATGTCTATCAAAAGGAACAACCACCATTCTGCATGGGTGACAAGATATGATTACTTTGTCAGAATATCAAGACCACTCATCTTTGTGACAAGTTGAACTATTATAGACTTGAAATATTTTCTATTTTTGTACAAATAAATCTAATTGCATATTATTTATACCTATCAT